CAAACGCAACCTAATTTAATGATCTCATAAAAAGGTGGATTTCCACCTCAATCTGAAAGAGTGGGATGAGATAATCCCAGGTATTTGTTCCGAAGAATTTATCCCACTGGCTACAAAATCAGGCAGAAACACCTGTTCTGATGGGAAAAAAGAATTTACAGCATAATCATTCAACCAAAAACGGGTAACGTTTAGAGTTAGTTACACGTTTCTTGGTGTTTACATCAAATGTTCCTTTCTATAATCCAAAAAAGAGATTTTCCAAACTCAGAATGGTTGGTGATTATCGCTTCACTCTCACCCCGGTTCTGTCTTCACCAAACTGTTTTTGGGTCGGGTTACACACCTGCTGCTGTTTGCAAAGCAACAATGATACCTGCCGCTCAGCTGGAAGGACTCACCTGATTATCCTTTTCTTGTCTTGGGAACCTGAGGAGCGGAGCGGGCAGCCTTTAACGGAGGAGGAAGTCTGAGGTTGCACTCAAAAACAAAGGCAATGAGGACAGCTGGGCCAGTGCGCTCATGCATATGTCTGATTTTATACGTCTGCAGGGAAACATGCTAGTCATGCAATCACCATGGACACACAGGAGTAAATTTATAGCTTAAATAAATCCTTATGCATGAAGATTTTGGTTTATTGAAGTATCGTGATCAAAATCAGCCGGGGCTCTGTCATGAGGAGGGACTGAATGATCCAGAGGAACAAAAAAATCATAAACATACAAATACAATATAAAGCAAATAAAGGCAGATTTTAACCTATAATGGTCTACTTTCATCACCTGAGATTTTGTTGTTGAAGTCAGTAATTCAACTCATGTGACTCAAAAAGCCACTGGTGTGAAGTCATTCAGTCCACGAGACTCATTACAGACCTTCCCTTTGGTGCTGTTCATCACTGCTAGTGTGGGTTTCCTTCTACAGACAAGAAAAAACATAATAACTATAAATATGAAATACAATTAAATGGGAACTAGGCCGTTTTGGCTTGCTATGAGCACCCCCTAGTGTTTGTTTGTAGAACTGAAAACAAAACACATCTCCTCTCTGTGCGTTTGTCTTTTTAACACCTTAATCTAACAGCTGAAATGTCTCCCCAGCCTTCATTAGTTTCTACAGGAGTGATTCATCACTAAATTCATCAGCTGTGTTCATGATCTAAAACAAGCAGGAAACGTGCTGGAACCAGACTGAAGCACCATGTGGTCTTTCAAGAGTCATTTTGGCACATACTGGCTCAAGAAAATGATTTAAATATATGAATAATTTGCAAAGTGTCCCTTTAAAGCTCTCTAAAATTACCAACAATAATCAATATGCTTTTGTCTTAAAGAGGGAGGCTCACGTAGAAACGTATACTTGTTATTCAAAACTTCTACCCCCGCATTAGCCGCAGGTTGAAAAAAGAGGGGGAAACTCTCGGTTGGCTAGCGACCGATGAAAGCTGTTGTTGATTTATCGTCCAGAAGGGAGAGAAGAGCATGTCTGCTAGAAGAAGCTAACCATTAGCATTTGCAACTCCACAACATGGCAGAACTTCTTCAGGTTTGTGGTATTTGTGGAGATAAAACCTACATTTTGAAGAAAGAAGAATGAGCAGAGGCAGTGGAAGAGTCACGTTGCTGTTAGCCAATCAAAGGCTAGATGTTTGCATATTTTTAATACTAATGAATCAAAATTCTGCTGTTTTCTGCCCCCCACTCCTCCGACTAACTGCTACATTTTAAAACAAGAGCTTGAGAGCTTTTCCCCCCACAGAAATCAACTCACTTGCATTAATTCATGCTAGAGACCGCTGCATAGGTTTGACAAGAACAAGTGTAGGCTCACTTTAAGGATTACTGTTTGTGTAGCGGGTGATGCCACATCCTGACGAAAGCAGCCTTTAAAGCAAATGTTGCAAAAACATTCTAAATTTACTTTAAATAAAATAGAAAATGATCAAATGTCAGACACAAGGGTAATTTAATCATGCCAGTTCAGCACATTTTAATTTCTATTTTTTTTTATTGAAATACATGAAGAACCGCCTACAAAAGTCAAAAATATGTGGAGATGATTAAAGTATTTCTACCTTAAAGATACTGTTATTTTTTGTATAAATTCAGGTCAGCATGGTGAGGCAGATGGTAGCACTGTTACAGAAAAAAAGGGTTGCAGGTTCAACATTTATTTTCTTTTATTGTTATTTTTTAAAAGGTTGTCCAAAAAGATGTTTATACATTTGTTCACATTTATGAGTAAACTAATCTGTAATGGCTAGAAGTGTTTTTATAAATCACACCAAACACAAACAAATCGATTTACTATTCATCCAAAAAACACGTATTTGCACATATTCATAATTAATCATTGTAAAATATTTAACTTTCTTAGATCCTAATAGCTTTGTCCGCTACCACATCGTTTATTTATTTATTTTATTCACTTATTTATTTTTATTTCTGGCTGCAACTATTGTAAACTTTCTTATCTAATATCCAATTTCCACAAAACAAAACAAAACTAAACTAAACTAAACTAAACTAAACTGAACTAAAGGTTCGGGGGAAAAAATCATAGCAAGATTTTAAATGACTACATATTATTAATTGATTCATTGTTGAACTCATTCACTGCCAATGACGACTAAAGTCATCATTTGCATTTTTTTTACTGTGTGGGCATCGGAACGAGCCCCCGCACCGTGAGAACAAACATCTCAGTTCTAAAGCCGATCTTCATCCGCATACGTCACACGTCACGTGATCAGGAAGCAGAAAAGATCGTTTTGGGCCGCTGCTGTAAAAAAAAGTGAGGCGCGAACCGGAAAAGCTTCTGCCGATCACAATTCAACAACGGGTTATGAAGGAACGGATATCGCTCGAAACAAGCAGATTCTTCCTGATGTAAGAGGTGAGTCTCCTCTTTGCTTTGGTTGTTTTGGCGTCGACATCATCCTAGCGCGCAACGTTCTGCGACTCTTAAAAAAGCAATAAAAATGTTGACAAACGCTGGCAGCGACTGAGTTAATTATTATTTAATCATAATAATTTTATTTAAATTAGGTGCACTGTCAGTGTGCCCCAGGTCAGCTGCGCCAACACTGTAGCTCATCAACGGTGTGTGAACGTGTGTGTGAATGGATGAATGATTCACAGTAAAAGGTTTAGAAGTCCTTTGACTCTGAAAAACGCAGTACAAGTGCAGGTCCTTTATCATTTACCATAATTTAAAAAATCAGGCTTTATTTAAAACAAACATAATGAGAAATTTTAACTTCTGAAACAAAAAAGTACTTTAGTCTCTCTGCACCCCCGACAAACCCCGGTCCCAAATTATAAATGCAGCCTCCTAAGAAACGCTCCACTTAATGATTATGAGACGCAGCTTCCATAAATAAACAAATGCATCCATCTGTATACAGATGGGCCAGGAACTATTACAGTAGAGAATACGTAAACATGTAAGTGCATACACAGACACCGGCCATGCACTCACTCACGTAAACACAGAGACATTTACTGTTTAATCTATTTAATTGAACCTGACTTTGAATAACTAAACAAATGAGGAAATTCACGAGGGGCACTCGATCCCTTCTTGGATAATGGATTGGAGATTCCTTTCCCATAGGGGCGTTTGAGCAAACAAGACCCAGTAATCTCTGAATTGATGAGTTGACTGCATCAAATTTCTCCACTAAAGAGCCTTTGAGCCCCTGATACAGCACTGGTAGACGGCCAGAGAGTCAATTTGCGGACACGGGCAGAACTGCAAGCTTTCTCTGGTTTCACTATCAGGGTGGTGATGTGCTTCAGGATCACAGGATAAACATTTAGGAGGTCCCTGCTTCATAATATTTACTCTATGATAAAATAAAACACAGCTGTGACAAAAGATTTTATTCAGTTTTTTTCTTATCATTTAAATATTTGGAATCACCAAACAAATTTCAATAATCAAGAGAACCTGAGATGCAAAATGTTATTTTCAAATGATTTTGTTCATTTAGGAGAAAAAGCTACCCAGACCAGTCCTAAACCCCCAGAATGACCAGTTACTTTCTCAGTGGCCTAGTGGTAGAGTGTCCGCCCTGAGACTGGGAGATCAGGGGTACGATTCCTGGTCGGGTCATACCAAAGACTTTGAAAAAATGGGACCCAATGCCTCCCTGCTTGACACTCAGCATTAAGGGGTTGGATTGGGGGGTTAAACCACCAAATGGTTCCCGAGTGCGGCTGTGTCTGCAGCTCGCCGCTCCCCCAGGGGATGGGTCAAATGTGGAGAGCAAATTTCGCACACACATCAGTGTGTGTGACAACTAATGGGACTTTAACTTAACTTTAACTTTACTTGCAAAGTTGAGGTAAATTTCAGTAGCCAAACCCAGGCCTGATTAGTGACAGTTGTGTAGATTTATGACATCACATCAACAGAACCTATCTGAAAACATGAATTAGTTAAAACATCTCAAAAAGCAACAAGTTAAGTCAAGTTTCAGAGAAGTCATACACTTGTTATTCCAATAAATCTGCTGTGGACTCTAGTATAAATAAATGCCTTTATTTAGTCGTCATCAGTGTAAGAGGAAGTGGAACTAAGAGTGGGGGGCAGGAAACAGCAGGATTTGGAGTCTTGTTAATATTCATGATATACGAACATCTCACCTCTGATTGGCTAACAGCAACACAACTGTCCTGTTGCCTTCGTTCCCCATTCTTTCACGAGTGAAATACTACAATGTTCAATCTCCACAAATAACACAAGCCTGAACGTGTTCCACCATGTTGTTGAGAAGCTTCCAGTTAGCTTCCACTAGCCGAGATGTTCTCTGCTCTCTCCTGGAGGCTAAATGAACAACAGACTTTGCAAGCCAAGGTGTGAGCTGGCTTTTTCTGACCCGCGCGTTTTTCCGGTCTATTTTCTTTCTGGAGCCAATGGAGGAAAAAGGAGTTGAAGACTATATTTTCATGTATTTTTATGCTCTGCATGCATGTGAAAAAAAGAACAAGTACTTCTCGTGAACATCACTTTTAATAAAATGTTATGAAACTAAACAACAAAAAACAAAGAACCCAGAACATCAAACGTACTGGAGGCCTCACTTAGGTAGGGTTAAGGTCAGAGGTCATGGCTCAATGAAAGAAACAGAAGGTGGCAAAAATGACTTCTCTAAGGTGAGAACCTCTGCTGATCAGATAGAAGACAAGATCCCCGAGACTTTTGGGGAAATATGCCGTGGACTGATGAGACACAAGTGGGACTATTTGATAAGTGCGTGTCCTGTTTCATCCGGTGTAAACTAACAGCATGTAAAAAAAAAAAAACATACTAACAGTCAAACATGGTGGTGGTAGTGTGATGGTCTGGGGCTGCTTTGCTACTTCAGGACCCTAGAAGACTTTCTGTAATTGATGGAACAACAAGTAGAAAATGGTGAGGGAGAGAATCTGGCCTGTCACCTTCAACAACCTGTTCACGCTGGAAAACCCTCCAGTGCGGATGAAATCAAACCATTCCGCAAAGAAAGGGTCAGAATTCCTCCATAGTGATGCAACCACAAACCCTTGTTTGTGATTGCTCCAATAAAAATTTCACGATCAATTTCTAAAACCTGAAGCGATTTCAGAGGCTCTTTTAGATTATTTTGGACATATTTTACCAACTGGAGAAAATAAAATAATTAAACTCCACATTAACTTAGGTGGCAAATTTATTAAAGTCCTGCCATTTAATTATGAATCACCATCATTACCAGAGGGAATAAATAATACATAAAACATCTTCCACGTGAACAAACATATACACCACACCCTCCCCCCATCCCACTCTGCTACGGTTCTTTTTTGAGGTGGTTTCCAGTACAAGAAAACAAACAAGACACATCTGAGAACACACAAATGCATAGTAGTCATTGGACCCCTAGGTACCGTTTGTTAAGACATCTACATTTTCTCCTAATTCCCGGTTCAAGAATGTACAAAGTTCTCATGCCCTGGTTCTTTCATACATGTACGTTCAACAAGGGGTTTGTATAAAAATAAAGTCTCCACAATGATATATATTTATATATATAGACATTTGGCAACAGCCAGACATTTAAGACCTGAACATGCTGAGGGGGAAATAAAACACCTGCAGGATGAGATGTGAACAGAAAACAGTCCGAAAAATGAAAATGGTTTTGAAGTTGGTAAAAACAGCGTATAGTGGTGTGTTTTGTTATAGTTTATGTCTTGAATGGGGGGACATGTTCTTCATTGCCTTCATGAAGATGGCAAGTAATAAATTAATTGGATATTTCTGGGATTACAAAGCCACAGTTCTTTGAATCAATTTTCCATTTCTTGACGAACAGAAGACACAGAAAATAAAGCAAAGGAAATAGTCAAGTATCTTTGGACCAATCAAAACTGCCCATGGTCCACCTCATCTAACCAGGATGCAGGACTGGCAGGGAAATCTGGGTACCCACCGCTGCTGCCGGTGGATAGGTCGGAGCTGGGGCCGTTTGCCGCTCCCATAGAGCCTCTGACGCCGGGGTTGATGCCAGGCCCGCCGCTCTGGGTCAGGATGGAGAGGCCAGAGTCGGGGTAAACAATGGTGGAAATGAGAGGCTGGTGCCTGGGGAGTGTCTGGAGTGACCCAGGAGACTGGGGGAGGCCGTAGGGGCTGCTGGACCGGATGTCGTGGAACTGGTCTTGGGAGGGAAGTACGCCATGTTCCAAAGGGAAGGAGCCATGGTTGTTGCCCCCTTGACGGCCCCCCATAGCAGGAGAGGACTCACTCAGGCTGCTGTAGATGCTGTTGTTATGGCCGAGCTCCGACATGGGGGGCTCATCTGCAGGACAGATGAAGAGATGTTAGTCAAATTGCCTCTATAAACAAAGTGATTTAAAGAGAGACCGGGCAGTTTTGGCTTACTTTTAGCACCCCCTAGTGTCCATTTGTAGAACCAACTGCAAAACCAATCTCCTCGCTATACGTTCGTCCTTTTAACACCTTAATTTAACAGCTGACATGTCTCCCCAGCCTTTCTTAGAGTCTACAGGGGTGATTAATCACCAAATGAAACAAAACAGCTGTGTTCATGATCTAAAACATGCAGGAAACGTGCTGGAACCAGACTGTAGCGCCAGGTATGACAGCTCCATTTTTTCTAAGTCCCAACAGAGCGGCCACCCGTCTGCAGGGGCTGGGTGGCCTTTCATTAACCCTGTAAAGGATAATTTTAGCACATACTGGCTCAAGAAAATGGTTTAAAAACATGAAAAATTTGCTAAGTCTCCCTTTCTGAAAATGTTCTTGTCCTGCAACAACATTTTTGAGATTAAAGGAATCATTATTTCAAATGTTGGTCTGTTTAATATTTTAAATTATTTTGTTTTGAAGAGGTGCTATTTAACTAAATGGCATTATTTTGGTTTATTTGCTGAAGTTGCTTTGTGATTTCTATCTTGAGAGGCGCTAAGTACTGTATTGTTTCTTCTTTAAAATGTCTGCAATAAAAAAAAGATATAAATTCAAAAACACAAGAGAAAAGCAAATCAAAATACCCCCCAAATTGTTTAATCGTAAACATTTAAACAAAATGCTCTAATTTTATTCAAAAATGATCGAAATGTAAGAAACATGTGGAAAAATATTCACGGACATTTTTACATAATAAAGATACATTTTAACTGCATTGTAAGTTCTTTTTTAAAGAAACAGCAATGCAGTTAGAAAAGCAACACAGCAAGAACATACCAAAGATGTTTAAAGATACATTTTTCTAAAATGTGTGTGTTGTTCTACACTTATTTTAATGTGTGCTACGTGAAAAAAGATTTTGAAATATGAAACTGGGAAAACTATATAGGGCCATTTATTTCAGCAACTATCTCAGCTTTATTTCTGAAAATGTAAATAAAACATTTGAACCTGCTTTTGAACATGCGTATTTTTGAATAAATAAATGGTTTATAGGTCTATTTTAGAATTATAAAATACAATTTTAAAAATTAAGAAATAAACTTAAAAGAAACAGACTGATGTCTATAAACTGCATGATTTACATAATTCAACCTCTTTAGCTTTCATTGTGTCTCTGCCCTAAAAACATATTTGTAGGTTTTTACCAGACTCCAGACCTTATTTTTATTGCTACTTTTTAATTTTGTTTTTCACAAACAAATTTCAGAAATTTTTATTAACTTAGATATTCCACTGACCTGTTTACAAAACCCAACTCTTCCAGAATACGTCTGTTTAAAGGAGTTTCAGCATTCCTTATACAGATGTGATTCAAATGATTCAGCAGCAGGAATGTAACACTTTCACTTTCATGTTCAGTAACTTCTGTACTTTGATGTGCTGCACCTTTTGTTCACAAGTTACCTGTGAAGGACACCTCAGCATCGCTGTCCATGCCCTCCTCCTGGATGCTGTCTTTGTCAGATTTTGAGCTCCCTCTGGACCTCTTCATGTTGCGGAAATACTGGCCCCACCTCTGCCTCCCAGCATCTTTCTTCAACCGCTTTTCTTTGGCTCTTCTGTTCTGGAACCAAACCTAGAGCGTCAAACGCATAAAACGTCATTGTGATGGAATATTTCAGTTAGAGAGGCAAACAGGTCAGAAAACAAGAATAATACTGCCTTTATGAATTTTACTTTATAGTGTAATACAAACAAAGTAATGGGAATTGATTTTGTTTAGACAGCATTTGTGTACGTTTCAGAAATATTTAGAAAAATTATGTTAATAATTTCCGTCTCGGATTATTAAAGTTTTAAAATTTAGGTTTGAATATTTTAATTATCGGTCTCTGTAAGAACATGAAGGTGTTTGCCTTGGCATCTGTTTGCAACTTCCCAAGCTTTGGTTCCACTTCTGGCATTAGGCTAAATTATCACAAAAAAATCTGAACTTACTGATGCTTAAGTGCTTTACCCGGTTTCCACAGAACATATAAACGGTGTGTGATGGGCGCTATTTACCCGTGAGCTCACCTTCCCACCAGAAGCACAAAATAGCAGCAATAGCGTTACAAACAGCCGGTTCCTAAAAAATGACCTGCCAATGCAGGACCATGCCTGATTTAGGCAGTTTATGTGTGACAATCAGTTCAGTTCAGTTCAGTTCACTTTATTTCAAACATATACATTCACCAACATTTCATAAAAATCATTCCACGCAATTGTTTGAAAAGGAGTAGGGAGAAGTGTATACTTATTTAGCCCTACCCCCTCAGGTTTACATCCTCATCATCAAAATGTAAACAACAAAACAGTTACAATGCCTTCAAACCCCCCCCCCCCCAAAAAAAAAGCAATAATAATAAATAAATTAAATTCTCATGTTCAATTAGAACTATATTTAGATTTTCTAATTTTCAAGGAGAAAGATGGCAGCATGTACCTACAACGGTTTGTGGTTTGTTTTCTGTTCAGTTTATTATTTTTTTCGACTGTGGAGGTTTCACTTTTTTTACATGTTAATCAGCTGGAAAACTGCACCTGACTTTTATTTAGAAAGTTTGCAGATATTTTACACTGCTTTTGTGTTTGATTCCCTGTCACATTGTTTTATTTTTTATTTAACCGTTATTTAACCAGGATAGAGACCCACTGAGGTTAAGAACCTCTTTTACAAGGGTGTCCTGGCCAAGAGGCCGCAAAATTCCAAACAGTTACATCATAATGACAGTGATAAAACACTCAATCATTAAAAGCAGTTACAAGTTACTAATGCAGTCTCTGAAGCTTTCAGTTTGGTTTTGAAGGCATTTAGTGAAACCTGCTCAGTCATTTGCCAGGTTTTCTGCAGCTGGTTCCAAGCAGAAGGAGGAGAGCAGGCGAAGGCTTTCTTTCCTAACTGTGTGCGAGCAAAAGGAACAGAAAATAGCAAAGAATGGGAATCAATATTTTTTCGTGTGATTAATGTGCAAATATAAGGACGTAACAATCCAAACACTGCCTTGTAAATAAAAACATACCAATGATTTTGTCTTCTAATTGCCAATGACGGCCATTTCACTCATGAATATAATTCACAGTGATGTGTTGTGGCTCTACAGTTTGTGATGAATCTCAGAGACACATGGTTAACCGAGTCCAGTTTTGTAGCACAGTTAAAGAAGCATTCATATATATAAGATCACCATAATCTTGTACAGATAAAAAGGTAGTAGTGACAAGTTGCTTTTTTCCTTCAAAAGAAAAACACGACTTATTGCGGAAGTAGAAACCCAGCTGTAGTTTTAATTTTTTCACCAGTTTATCTATGTGAGATTTAAAGGTAAGGGAGTTATCTTTCCAAACACCTAGGTACTTATACTCATGGACCATCTCTACGACTTTCCCTTCCAGTGTGATTACTTCACGAACACTATTTGGCATTTGTCTATTTGTAAAAAACATCAACAAAGTCCTCTCAGCATTAAGGGTTAGCCTTAGCTGATGTAATGAGTGCTGGACTACATCAAATGCTTTCTGCAGGGATTCAACAACCTGAGAATGTGATGTTCCAAAACAATAGATAATCATATCATCTGCATAGTAATGCATATTAGCATTTTTAATATTTTGGCCCAAGTCATTGATGTACAAGATAAATAGGAGGGGCCCCAGGACTGAGCCCTGGGGCACACCCCTCTGGACAACCCCAAAATCAGAGCAAAGATCCTCACATTTAATACACTGTGTCCTGTTAGTCAGGTAATTTGAGAACCATGCTACTGAGTGTTCTGACAACCCAAGGCTTAGTAATCTGTTTATTAAAATAGCATGGTCAACGGTATCAAAAGCTTTAGACAGGTCTATGAACAGTGAGGCACAAAACTGTTTCCTATCAAGTGCTACTATAATAGCATTTACCACCTTCATAACAGCTGTAGTAGTGCTGTACCCTTTTCTAAAACCCGACTGACATTTCGAGAGGATGTCATTAATAGACAAAAACTCTTTTAGCTGAACACTGACAAGTGACACCATTATCTTGGAAAGCACACATACATTTGATATTGGCCTATAATTTGTCAAAACTGCTGGATCCCCTCCATTTAATAATGGTAAAACGTATGCTGACTTCCACACTGATGGAATTTCTTTGGAATTAATTGAAAGATTAAAAAGAATTGAAAGTGGCTCTGCCACACAATCCGCTGCCATCTTTAAAAAATAAGGTTCTATTAAATCAGGTCCAGGTGGCTTTCTGTGATCTATGTAACTTCATGCACTGTAAAAGGTTTGAAGTTAAAAGGAGCTCCAGAAGAATTTGGGGGTATTATGCCAGATTTTATCAAAGGGGTTCCTACAAAATTAAACAGGGAACCCACCGAAAGAAAATGTTTGTTAAAACAATTTAAGATTTCGAGTCTGTTATAAACTGGAACTGAATCTCTAAGAACGAATGTAGGAAAAGCCTGAGAAATCTTTTCCACAGCAAAAAACTTGGTCACTTTCCAGAACCTCTGAGGATCTTTAAGGTTTTCTGTGGTGACCGATAGAAAATATTCAGATTTAGCCTTTTTGATCAGGGAAGTACATTTATTTCTCAGCTGCTTGAAAACAGACCAGTCAGTAGTCACGTCTGTTGTTCTTGCCTTGTCCCAAGCTCTATTTCGTTCATGTATCAAGTTTGCCAATTCTGGTGAAAACCAAGGATTTTCACGGCCCTTAATCCTACATTTTCTTAATGAGCATGTCGATTTACAATTTGCATAAAACTTTCTCTAAAAAAAGTCCAAGCCAGCTCCACATCTGGCAATAAATCTATATCTCCCCATTTCACTGCTGATAAATCATGATGAAAAGCTTGCTCATTAAAATGTTTAAGATTCCTCTTACAAATTATACGTGGCTTACATTTTGGTATCTTGACATCCTTACATACTGCAACAACACAATGATCGCTAAGATCATTACAAAAGATGCCAACTGAAGTAAACTTGTGTGCCACGTTTGTTAAAATCAAATCAATTAAACTTGACTTTTCTGGATATTTAAGGTTCGGTCTAGTAGGCTGGTTAACTAATTGGGTAAGATTATTAGAATCACAGAAGCTTTTAAACTCATCAGAAGTTGACTTTGTCCAATCCCAGTTTAAATCCCATGCCAGAAGTAGTTCAATATAAGATAATTTAGACAGCAACTGTTTTAAAGTATGTAGTGCCTCTTTGGGGGCAGAAGGAGAACTGTAGCACCCAACAACTATACTTGAAAATGACTTTGCTATTTCTATACTCAAGGCCAAGAATTTCATTTGTTTACAAATAGATTGTGATATAGACATTAAACCCATCTATATTAATGTCTTCATTTGTAATAGATTTAGTTAGCCAGGTTTCTGAAATTATAACAATATCAGCCCCTGTTGCCAGATACTGACCTTGTTCATTTTATTTAGTAAACGGCACACATTTAAATGAATGTATTTAAGACCAGATAATGATTTAAAATCAGAAAGAGTTTTAGCACGTTGTGGTTCAGGGCCTGGGTTTGGTTGTACATTCCCTGACAGAAGTAGGAGTAAAACAATCAGCATTCTTTGTTTTACATTTACCTTTGATTCAGTGTTTTGCTGCCTAGGAACTATGCTAGTATCTCTATTAAATGGACAAGTAAAATGATCATACAGAACAATAAAACTTTGTAGCTTAGGTAAGTCTCTGGGCAGAACTGGCGATAGATTTATATCCTGCTCAGATAGAACTGGTAATGGTTTTTCAGTCATGAAAGTCATAGAGTAAGCTCCTTTGTTACCATTGTTTTTCAGATTTGTGTGAATGTCAGAAGATCCAGTGTAATGTGTCCAGAGATAATTGCTTGGGCCGCAGTCCCAGCAAACCAGTAGGCTTATAAGAGTAACTATTAGCGCCATTGTCCACCCTAGTTAACTCTTGACAGTGCTGAATAGTACTGACCTCCGTGGAGGGCAAGTCTGGCAAAAGACACAAGGTGCAATCCTAGAGCCGGTTTGCTCTAGGTAAACCCAGCTAGCCTGGGTTCAGACTGGTTAGCTCCCAGACGATGTAGCAGGCCCAGTCTCTGTTCGATTTGCTCCAGGAGATGTAACAATCCCAGACTCGTGTTGACTCGCTCCAACAGCAAACCCAAGCTGATCCACCCCAGGAGAACACAGCAGGCTTAGGCCCGATAACTCCAATCAAATGTCTGAAGGCTCAGGCTGTGTGGTTCCAGATGAGTGAAGCAGGTACAGACCCGAAAGCTTCAGAAGGACGCAGCAGGCCCTGACTTGAGTGGGTTTACTCCAGGTGAACACAGCTGACCTAAGCTGGTCACCTTCGGAAGGAGATAGCAGGCACAGGCCCGGAGTTCCAGATGGGTGTGGTAACCCAAACTCGAACCAGTTTGCTCTATGAGAGTGTAGTTGGTTCAAATTTCAGTCAGAAAGAAGGCTAAAGCTTGTTCTAGCCCAGCCAGTTTGCTTCAGAGAGACTTAGTCTTTTGTCTGCTATAAAATCTTGTTAAAACATATAGGATAAAAAGTCCTTAAAAATGGTGAACTCAGACAAACAGTTCTCATTTCACATACAAAGGAGGTGCTGCCATCTTGGATTCAATTATGGAAGATAAGCAAATGAAAAAACAGACGAAGTGTAAGTCATGCATCCCTACACTTCTGGAACACTTCCAAAACATAATGCTTCACGGCCGGTGGAAACGCACCCATCCACTGTAAAGGTGGCTAATTGCTGTGTACTGCACTTCAAGGGCGTCACGTTATGCCTTCTTTTCACCAGACGTCAAAGCGGCATGTATTGTAATACCTGCATTTTACCCACAAGCTTCCTTTCAACCGGGCGTGATTCAGATGGGAAACGGGAGCAAAAGCGTTCCACACTGCTGGTCCCGCAAAGTCACAAAATCACGGGAGAATTACAACACCACGCGTGATTTCAGAAGTGTACACAATAACAAGCAAAGAGAAAGACAACTGCAGGTATCCAAAAAGGTTTGTGGTTTATTTTCTGTTCTGATCACATCAGCTACAGGAGATTCACAGGAAATGACGCATGTTTATCTGCATGTGACTTTTATTTAGAAAGTTTCCAGGTGTTACACACCACTTTCATGTTTGACTTCCTGTTTATCCAAAACGTTTCACTTTTCTGCTGGCGGAAAGGAATCCGTCCACTATAACAGTGGCAAAGTACATTTTGCGATGCTTTCACGTCCAATGGAAAGAAGGGGTTATGCATCCGCTGGAAAGGCCCAGTAAGAATATTTGGGGGGGGGGGGGGCCACAGGGAGGTCCAAGCCTGCACTGGCCCACGTTACACTCCCCCTAGAACTGCCCCTGTTCATAATCCAGACAAGTCTGAGTCTAGTGTATATAATTTCTTTGAGCACATTTCAAGCTTTTCCTTCACTGAAACAAAATTAATGTTCAAGGATTGTCTGAACACAACTTTGTGCCTTTGAGGGTCCAGGAGTGTCATTATGGAGCAATCATGTGACCAGGTTCCCCTACTTTAAATGTATCACACACATAATGAACTTCAAGTCAGAGACAAGTCGTCTTTTCCCACAGTTAGCACCTCAATACCTGAAATTATTCAAAACATCCAATTAAAATATATTTTTGCATGCATGGTCTAAACTGAAACTTTTCACACTTTTCACGCTTATCTTTATCCTTCCCTCAAAAGTAACCCATTTAAGTCACTTGCATGCAGCTTAACATTATTCTTAATGATATTCCTCCCTGAGTGAACCCTCTTAACCCCTTCCCTTCCCCTGAATAATAAGGAGCATTTTAGTGGCTTCTGTCCCTGCTTTTGTCCTTGCAAATAAAACGATATATATGACCAACACCTAGCAACCAGAGAGGGGCTCTTCAGCAGCAGACAATATGCGAGGGCCCCCCTCTTAGTATTGTTAACGAGGCTTCACTTAAACCGCGCTGACTTTCATGTAGACTTCATTTTACTGCATCTAGTTGTAAATCCCCCAAACACATCCCTTATCTGTACAGGACTCTCGTCCCACAATTGTCTCCCCATAATAAAGTCAGGACACTAATGGAATCATTCTTAATGGATAATAATACACTTTACCTGCACGACCCGCATGTCAAGGCCCGTCTCGGAGGATAGCTGCTCCCGGACGTGGCGGGCTGGTTTTGGAGAGTTGTTGTAGGCGTTCTTCAGCGTTTCCAGCTGCTTAGCGGTGATGGTTGTTCGTGGCCTTTTTGCAGTTGAGTCTGCTTCTGAAAGAACGACACACATCATGTCAGACAACAGGAAGGAACACAATGACAGCCCTAACTTATTCACAACTGCCCTTTCATGTTTTACATACATGCTCCTGCATTTATGAGCATTAGTTTTGCAATAATGCTTGCACATCTCCTCACAAGTAATGCATATCCCCCCCCCCCCCCCCCCCCCCACCCCCCCAATATAAGCTAACTGAGCGGTCTGCCCCATCGGGCATCAACCTGCATGCTTTGGCCTTTTGTTAAAGGTGAAATGGACCATTTTTACTAACTGAAGATTTCAGTGAACATACTTTCATTCCTTGTTTTATTGAAAGCTTTGCCACAAATAATAAAGCACTGCTATACGCACTTACAATTCGACAAAATGCCGCAGGTTTTTCTCCCTGCTTAATGCTACAATGCAGATTTTGTTTAAAGTCAGTTTATAAATGTGACCTTTTCATTTTTTTAGGGCCTGATTTACATTTTTACACATCCTTAAGCAGGCTGATGCCCCATAACACAATTGAAACATTTAATTAGAGGTTAAACATGACTTTTTTCTTTATGGTGAACATTTTTATCTTGATGCTTTTTGGAGTAAAATATAATATAATTTGGTCAAATCCCTGAAAATGATCAGTCTAAGCATACTAATTGTTAATTTTTTGTGTGCATGTGCATTAGCTGCTAAGAAAATTTATCTTTTTAAATCAAAGAAATAGAAAATATACCATCATAAACATGGCAGACACAGCCGTTCAAAAGTTGCATAAATGTGTATAGAATATTAATCTAAATCATATTGTTAGCTAATAAATCTCACTTTGAAAATTATGAGCTTGATTTTGTGAGCAAATAATAATGACTGTTTTGAACCAGAATATTTACGATTTTTTGTTTCAGTCCAGTTTTTGGTTATCTTAACTTCTGAATTGGTCAATAGTTGGCTGCATGGGTCAATGTGGTTTGGTCTGAATTTGACTCATGATTTGTGTTCCTTTGGTTCAGTTCCTCAGCGTCCCAGTCTTTGATAGGTTCACCAGTTAGCAGCTCAAACGTCCCTTTAATCACACCCTTCTGTTTAAAAGCATCCTGATTTCAGATGCTCCTGCTTAGCTCCTGTGTAATTGTAGTTATTTGTTATTAACGCTTAAGAGCCTAGACACGTTCAAATTAGAAAACATGTTGGATTTAACCCTTTGGTGCATAATGGTCACTACAGTGGACAGGTACTCAAAATTGTTATTTATTTGTTTTTGCTATTAAGCACAGCTGTTGAAGACTTTATTGTATTTGAGCCCCTCCATTTGGACTTCAGTAAGTCAAGCCAACATATTTCATGTTCAGAATGCACGTGGTCCACTAAGGTGGACCTGTAATAAATTATTTGTAAATTATAAAATTTTACAAAAAATATTTGTTGAAATTTGTTTCATTCACACCTAAAGATGAATGAAAAAAATTGTTAAAAAAATCATGGCTGAAGATTTCATAATTCATGCATCAAAGGGTTAATACATCAAGATGTAGAAAACTGAAATAAAAGGAAGTAAAATACTTTTTTTGATATAAGCAAGAAGCAATTTTGCAGATACTTGAAATGGGCTATGACGTCACCAGGTCCATCAGGGTTAATAAAGTACCTGCTGCACCAACAACTAGAACAACAAATCGTTTTATACCACAATAAAACTCAATTAAAAGCTTTCAGTAAACCACCACCATGGTTACCGTTTTGGGTGAAAAAAAATCTGCTGGCAGCCATGTTACAGCTTTTTTTAAACATGCTCACTGATCTTTTTAATTTTTTGCACAACTTTCTCTTTCCACGTTAACCCCTGCACGTGATCCCCTGTCACAGTGATTATTGAAAGCTGAACCCTTCAGGTGCAGAGCGGAAGCCTCCACTTCCCGCTGCTCACTATCGATTGGGCTGCAGGCAATGACGCAGTCAAGCCGGAGAGTTTATGGATGATCTCACTGTCACCACCTGCACCTGCATTTAATAATGATTCTCAACACCTTCTCTCTCTTTGCCCTGTTTGCGCATCTCACCTCTCTGCTTGGCGGTCTCATAGTCGGCCTTGCAGACCAACCTGCTGTCCTCCATCAGGTAATACTCATCACCTGTGGCCAGCTGCCTTTTGCACACGATGCAGGCGAAACAGTGCAGGTGATAGACAAAGTCCTGCGCTCGCCGGACCACCTGTGTGGGCGGGATCCCCTGCTGACAGGCTGCGCACTTGGTCCCGAATCTCCTTTTGGATAGGACAGGTTCGTCATTTTTACGCGGAAGCATTTTGACTATTGAAGGCAAGACTAAAGAGCTCCAGAACACTCACTTGAAGAAATCGTCTTTGCAGTAGACGTTGTCTCCCCTGCTGAAGCACTTGTCCGCCAGCTGCGCCTGACAGTCGCTGCATTTCAGGCACTTGCTGTGCCAGTGGCGGTCCAGCACTTTGAGGATAAAGCGGTCCACGATGTGTTGATTGCAGCCGGCGCACACTGGGATGTCTGCAGGAGACAAGGCGGAAATCACTGCAAGTCAAGAGGGGAAAGCGATCCTGTTTACGCAACTTCTGCACGCAGTTATACCGTAGTTAGCTGTGAGCACAAACGATGATCAGCACCCAAATAACAACAAACAATGCTATTGCTAATTGCCATCAGTTTTCTGTCCTTTTCTACAAAACTGAACACGTATCTTCAGTTGAAATTTGACTAGAATAAGAAAATGATAAACCTGTCATTAAAGATTAATTTTACAAGAAAAGGTTAAAAAGAGACAAAATCATGTCTGCCCAGTGATCACATCAGTTCTGGAAGTGTTTAAGGATCTTCATTTATGTAAAAAACTAAATAACTATAAAAACAAACAAATAAAAAAAAAACAAAAAAGCACTAAACATATTTTTAAATATAAGGAGAGAATTTTCACAAAAAGGGACATGAAACACCTGGTGTCAGCTACATTAATTATATAATGCAGAACTCGTCTATTAAAAATGTTGAAGCCATTAATAATAATAATAATAATAATAATAATAATAATAATAATAATAATAATAATAATAATAATAATAATAATAATGAAGTTTTTTCATTTTAGAGAAAAGTAGAGAAAATGATCATTTACTATGGTCTTAGTAGGTTAGGAACCTAAAGTATGCATGCTTAATTAACAATATAAAAATGTTTAAGATGGGTTAAGATCATTTGCAAGAAATATCCCAAAACAGATTGATCCCATAAAGACCCCCCCCCAAATATGTAAACTGATAAATGAAATGATTATATATGATCAGTTTCATTATAATAATTTATAAAATATCACGTGAAGAAGCTTTATGTATTTTTCTCTGTTATATGACAAAAATACCCAAAAACGTTCAACTTGTGATAGAAAAATTGTCCGATTTTATTGTTAATTTTTGAAAAGTTAAAGGTCGTCGCGCGTAATTAATCCTTTGGTTACCTCAAATACTACAAATATGTTACAATAATAATAAAAAAACGAGGATAATGATATTTTTAAAAGGTTAGGTTATTCTCCACTAAAGACTCTGCGTGTAAATCTAAACTAAAATCAACGGAAGTAAAAAGGGGGGCATGCGAAATGCCAGATGAGACATCATCCGGCCTCTTTATTACTAATTAAAAGAAGCTCGAGCGCTTCGGGGTCCATGCAAGGAATCGCGCAGCCATTGTTCTGATCCATGAAACATTGACGAGCCATTTCGTGTTGCATCAGCGGCGGGGCCGCGGGTTGGGGCGCGTCACGAGCAGGTGGATCCGGGTCATCATTAATTCAGATTGCTCGGTAAAACTAGAAAGCTGCGGCCTGTGTGGTCTCACAGCTCTGACCGACATCAAGTAGGCCGATTTGCAAAAATCAAGTGTGTGTGTGTGTGTGTGTGTGTGTGTGTGTGTGTGTGTGCGTGCTCGTAAATGTTTAATTAGAGGTTGAAACGTTTTTTTATTTATCATTTGCTTCCAAACAGATATTGATGATTATGATTTAATTACAAAGCTGTTACATCATTTCATCATATTTGTCACTCATTCCAGATGCTTGATGCTGCACAGAACGAATGTTTCACGAAGCAAAATGCGTCAAATACTAACGAGCGAACTGAGAATAACTGAATTCATCTACAAGCTCGTGCGTAAAACGAAATCAGAAAAATATTTCATTGAGTTTAAGGTTAAAACCCTCCTCTGATATAAAATACAAACTCCTCCCCGTTTTATCAGATTTGAAAATATAAATATTGTATTTTCCTAACACAAAAATGACAAAACATGAACAACTCTTTCCCAAAGGCCGGTTGTACACCCACAGACGCGCACAGACGCGCACAGACGCATTGTCCACAAACTAACAAACCGAACAAAGTGATAAAATGTGATCCTTCCGTTACCTTTGCGCAACTCCTCGCTGTGCGACAACAGAGCAAGAAGCATCTCTGTGCTGCTTGGAGCCTCTTTGGGAGAACTGCGCTCACCACGTCCATCCATTGCTCATGATTTACACTCACATTAACGCAAGCCCGACGCGCTCATCCACATAAACACTCACACAGAAACACACACGCGCGCGCGCGCTATAGGACAGGTATTGTCGAATTTGAGCTGCAGGAGCCTCAGGAAGTGAGCACAAGCCCGCGTGGGTGCGCTGACTGGAGTTTGCTTTTATGCTTCGCCTGTGCGGGATTACGCTGCGCCGTTTCCCCGGCGACAAGCAGATAGATCAACATCACCTTACAGAGCACCTTACCCGGAAGGAGAATGAGCAGGAGGTGAGAGGAGCAAGGCCAATAGAGTTTCAGAGGTGCTGGGTGCCAAAGATGACTTTTGTTTTGTTTTTAGGTCACCAACCTGAAATATGATCTGAACTGACTTCTAGCAATTTTATCGCTGCTAGATCTCAGTTTCTCAAATAATTCTACGTTTAATCTGAGGTGGCCATCACAAGAAAAGAGAAAAGTAGTTCAGTATAGGATTAAAATGTAAATGGGTCTTCTTTACAATTTCTTAATATTTATCAAATAAACACATTGTGAACCTGCACCAACACAGGAAACGACAGAACTGATAAAACATTTATATATTTTTAGAAATAAAAAAGATAAATGTTATATGAAATGTGTGAAAAGCTTTTGTTTTCCTCCATATTTCACTAAAATAGATTAGAATGCTGTGCATAAAGGAGAATCTACGCACAGTCAGTGTGTAAAATAATTCACCAGTTTATTACTATTATTATTATTATTATTATTATTATTATTATTATTATTATTATTATTATTATTATTATTATTATTATTATCCAAACCTATTTTCCGTTTTACTGAAACGTTTTCCAGTGTTATTAATATTTGAAAACAACTAACACACTGATCAGTCACAACCAGCTTATTTTAACATCTTAAATAATTATTAAAATAAAACGTTATTTCAAAATAGACCTGGAAGATTTCTGATTGAATTACATGCGCGCAGTCTTCGTCTCCTGCGCGCGCGGAGCTGGAAGACAAGTGTTTATTTAGGGGAGAGATTGGCTGTTCAATAACATGTTGATCGGGCCAGCACCCCAATGAATTTTATTGACACTGATCTTTGGCACAAAAGAGCGCCTGGGGAAATCACGGGTAGTGGCCACAACCGGCCGGACTCTGATGAGTCTAAAATCAATGTCCCATTTGCCTGAGTCTCAGAAGTATATGAAACGCGTTTTGGAGAAAGGTGTGGGGTTCATGGAAACCCCCCTTAGATATATTTTTTAAACTTTTCAGCATTGTAATAATTTTATGTCATATTGATCGCTCGCTTTTGAAGGAGGGTGAGTGGACAGTAATGTGACAACAAAGCCATAAAACGACCATCAGAGTAATGCTTAAGGGGAAAGTCGCAACGATGATCAAATAAATCTGTTTTGCTTTATTTGTTTATTTTTAAAACGTTGCATCCAAACAAATGGATAATTAGGAAGAAAAATCAGCACTTTTAAAATGGAATTTAATCGTGTTCATTTCCTCAGTCCTGAAGAGTCTTGAAGCTGAAGCTTTTCCTGCAGGTGTCCCTCTTGTCGGGACAGAAATGAGACACCTGTTGGGTTTCGCAGGAGCCGCGGATGGGAGTGGCGTTTGCAGGCTGTTGGGCTGAGGACGCTGATCCGGTGCTGCGTTCACGTCCACGCGCTCTCCTTGCGACTACAGGCGGTGGTGTGAAATGACAGCACGCGCATGACATCTGCTCGTGCGATTCTCCAACAATGAACTCTCATTACGGATTCATAACGTCTCCAGCAAAGGCGACGCTGCAACCTGTCTGTTCGGAAGCAGGTTCGGGATGTTTTTACCTCCACTTTTCATCCCTTTATGTTAAATTTTCATTACTACAAAAATTAATCAACATATGTTATAAAAGTGTCTGTTTACAACTTATTACGCAATTGCATGCTCATTATTAATATTTAGGTCCTGCTAAGCTGCATTAGTCACCATTTCACTCCGATTCGTTCTTGGATCTCAGCATAAACATTTTTTCCCCAAATACCTTTACACATGACTAGATACGTGTGAGTCTTACCTTGGCCAGAGTTATATCGTGAAAAACTTGCGCTGCTTTGACAACTTGATCCCGGATGCTCCAGCAGCATTTTTCAAGAAGTGAGGAAAGAGGCGAAATAGTTCTTTTAAAACAAAAATAGTAAAAAGTTTCAGTTGTGGGTTGTTTTTTTAAATCCTTTTGAGATCAAATTGAAATCTGCTCGATGGTAAGCTGACTAAAAAAACTGTAAAAATAATTTCGGAGGACCTTTCTCCCAGCTCCAGCCACCAGGACCGGGACTTTTGAACATTCATCAAGTTGATTCCTCACTGATGAACCAGAAGTGAGATGCTGGTGGCTCTAGAAAAGCGTGTGTGACCATCAGCGGAGTCAGCTGACCCGACAGTGAGCCCAGGAGTCGCTTTAACCCGAAATACCGCTGCCTCTGTCCAGGGTGCTGAAGAGAATGGGAGTGTTCTCTGAACCGGCTGCAGGGGTGTGTGTTGCTCCATCACCCCCCTCCGACTACATTTAAAGCTCGCTTACACACAGACCAGCCTCCAGCCCCCTCCATCCTTATCTTTGTTGTGTTGCACGTGTCTGTCTTTCAAAGACGCACAATGGAGCAATTTGTTGCCGTGCACTTCCACCGTCGCGTCTCTCCTTTGTTCGGGTAAAGATAGGCGTAGATCACGGACCGTTATCTTGGTCCCTCGAGCTTTGCTGACTTTAAAACCCAAAGTAGCTCGTCTGTAAACCTGTTGAGAGTTTGAAGGAAAACATTTCTTAAGGCAGAATGTGGATGAAAACAAACGCACGCCGATTTGGCTGGATGCCATGTCCTAATAAACTGGGTCTGAGCCATTTGTTGCTTTCTGACCCACAGCTTTGATTCAGTTTTCCTCACCCAGCATGCCAGCACACCAGTGCCAATTAGAACCAGTACTGGGCCAGCCAATTAGATATTAAACCCTCAGCATCAGTTACACACTCCTGTTTGGTTTTTCTTTCAGATGCTTTTCTGAAGGAGAGTTTTCATCGACAGCAAGACCCAATAAACAGGCAAACATTGGTGTGTGTAGAGGAACACTTTCTAAATCTAGGAGGATGTTTAGGTTAACTAGAATCCCAAAGCCAAAGCAGCCGGATGAGCTCAAAGCACAAAAACGCTGCTTTTCCTTCTCATGTCATCCACAGTGACAGGAAAAGCTTCTCACACTCGACTCGCCTGTGTTGTTTTTAGCAAATATGGCTTTTGCACTCAAGACTGAAATTTTAATCTTGTTTTTCTCAGTGGAATGATGATTAAATTCAAATACAAAACATCTTCCTTCAAATGAAAAAAAAGTCTTCTTCATCTATTTTATGACCAAATTTTGAGGTGATTTTGTGGGGAAGTTAAACAAAAACATTTTAAATTCACCAGAACAGAATTGTAGCATCTTTGCGTGCTTTGCACAAACAAGAGAGAACACAAACACAAAAATAGCTCCTATTATGCCCGAATCCTTCAAAATCATCTCAGCATCATTACAGAAAATTGATACAGTGTTAACACACCTGTGTCCCACTTGAAAAAGCAGCTGCCATGTGCAAATGTAACGGTCCTCCACGAAGACTCGTCCTGTTGCACCTATGGGAACTTGGTTTTTGACCATGATGAGCTGCAGCCTCACAAGAGCCACTTGGTTCCTTCAAAGGAACAAGCTGCAGGTTTCAAACAAAGCTTCTTTTTTTGATAGGGACATTTGTCAGAGGGATCAATTTAATTGTTTTAAAAATAAAAAATATGTATTTAAAAATAAAAGTGACTGGCTATAAGACAAAATTATGAGTCTTTCAAAACAGGTTGAACTCATTTATTTGAACAAAAATATATATTTCTGCTTCATTTTTAATTTGAAGACAAATTCGTATTTTTTCTTGTTTTGCAATTTTATTTAAATACAATGAATTCATCCAATCACGCTTGTAAAAGTGGATTTAGGCAAAGTATTTTGAATTAAAACTGGGAAATACCAAAACACGCCAAATCTATTACGGATAAAGAGGCGAGATTATTTCATTGTAATGCCGTCACTGGACAACGTTAAGATGTTTTACTTTGAAAGAGCAAACATTTAATTACATCTCTTTAAAAATGTAATATTCTTTGAACAATCCTTTGAGAATTTCCTCATTTATCATTCGCAAATTATGAAAAAGAAATAATTATGAGTTTAGATGCATTTTTTTTACCTTTTTTATTGTAAAAGTTTTGAATTAATCCTGAAATGTCTATATGATCAATGCGGACTGTATGCATTTAGTCAAATTGTGTGTGTGCGGCTGCTTATGACCAAGTTGTGTGACAGAGTGTTGTTGCAGGGGGGAGGGGGGGGGGGGGTCCGTGTGCCACCCTTCTGACACCAGGCCACCATTGTGCTTCTGTCATGATCAATCATGTCCTCCAAAGAGTGGCCTTGTCCAGGAGGGAGGGGACCAATCACACGCCTCATTACCCTGGCTTGGTTACTCTTAAGCAGGGTTTCATCCCAAGACACCTCAGCCTGTTGCTTTTTGGAATGATAAAAGAAGAGCCAGCACGTGTTTGGAATGTTTAGATGAATCTACAACAACAAAATAAAAATAAAAAATTAAAAAAAAAAATGAATTCAAATTTACTTCTTTGGTAAAATTACACAAAGATGCTCATTTTGGTGCTGCACTCTCGCAGGGTTGTGTGTAAACCAAAAGTACAACATGTCCAGGTATCACAAACCACCATGTATATTGAAGTTCCACCGTCTTTGTCGCTGGAGTAACCGGCATCTAGTTTTCGACCATAGTGAGCAACTCTCATTGTTCAGCAAAGGGCTCCATCTGGCAAGGTTTCACTGACCAGGCCTGCTCCAGCTCGCAACCCCTAGCAGCTGGCTAAACTGTCCAACCGCTACTCCGTTTGGCCCTCGCACTAACTGATACTCTGCTGGCTTTGCCCCGCGAGACACACACCCACACACACTCCCACATGCACAATACTTGATGAGGCTAACTGTCCGCCGGCCTGCCAGTGTCGGGGTCAGTTGGGTTGAATGAGGGAGGGGGGTGCATATGTGTGTGGTTTGGGGTGGAAAGGGGTGACACTGTTTTGGCTTTTGTTATTCAGCCAATAGAGCCAGAGAATTGGGTCAAAAGTGTTTCAAGAGCAACCGAAGACATCTTGAAAAAGATGCTGCATTCAGATGAACACGAGATGTCGTACTCCTTCATCAGCTGTGTATTTAGTCAACAGTCGTCCCTCAGGAGCTGAACGTGGTTTCATTATTTGTGCATGAGGGTCCACTCCAGGCTAAAGAGGCTGTCACCTCTGCCCACCATCAGCCTCTCTGAATATTGATATGTTAATGAGGAACAACACGGGGAACAAAGCTAGACTGCTACCACTGGAAACCAGCACAATGGACCCTCAGTTGGGCCTCGACACTTTTACCACCCAACATGTGTCCCTGGTTTCATCCGCATACAATAAAGGCCAAGCAGCAACCAATTCATCCCTGTGAGGGATGCTGCTGCTGAGCGCCGCTGCACCGTCTGCGGTCCTGGTTGGTCGCGTTGTGTTTTGCTCATCTTTGTTCCGGGTGGGAAACACCAGTTATTTAGAGCTGTTATAAGCCACCCAAGAGGCCATCATACCACGACAGAGGTCAGAGTTCAAAGCAGTGTGTCTGTAAGGCAGGAGTGGCCTTACAGATGTAGACTTGCTGAGAGGATTTTCTGGTTTTATGAGGATGAAAACTGAGCTGTGGGTTTATTGGTGAGAATTAATATACTGTTGAAGCCTTTCAATTATGTTTATCGGCCAAAAAAGATGCTTTTATGCTACTTCTGGTGTCAGATGTTCATACAGAAGATATTTGGAGCATAACTCTTAAATAGTCAAAGTCAATCTCTCAGTTAGGCATTCCTTTAAGGATTATGTACTCTCTCCAAATGGCTTTTACTTTTCCTCTCATTATTTACGTTATTAGTCAATCTTGGGATTATTCTGACACATTAATAATAAACCAAAAATAAATAAATATCACTTGTTAAGTGTTATAACAGTAAAAAAACCCCCACTTAATTAGTTTATGAGTTTACGATGAACTAGTTTTTGATTTAATAAACAATAATTTTGTTCACAATTATGATATTATTTTGAGAAAAATCATAAGTGGTCAAAATTCTAGACATCAAGTCATTTCAACTAAGTAATAGAAGTAAGAGCCTAATAAAATGTACTAAACTAGGAAACTTGTTAATTTTATCTGTCTAAGAAATTACTTTGGATGTTTTCATAATTATCTGAAAATGTTTGAATTGTTTCACATGATTGCTGCAGTTTTCCATTCATGCTCCCATTGCCTGTAAATAATCTACCATCTATTTCCACGCAGTATTTAATTTTTATTCTTTGTTTCATTTCTTAAAACGTGTATAAATGTAATATTTAGCTATTTGAATCCTTGAGTATTTTGAATACTTTCTGCATTGAGTTTTCTTGTTGTTTTCTCTTTGTTCTTTATTTTTTATTCTTCTTTGCTACATTCTATTATCTGCACTGCTCACTGCTGTAACACCAAAACCTCCTCAGTAAGAGACAATAAAGAAAGTTTCTATTCTATTCTATTCTATTCTATTCTGTTCTATTCTATTCTATTCTATTCTATTGTAGCACAATGAACAGAACAAGCTCATAAATTTCAAACATCTTCACCCAAACACTTTATTAAATGACCCATATTTTACACATAAGAAAACATTTAATTCTACAAATTATCTTAAAAACAATCAGAAATGCGTTTGTAAATGATTATTTTGTGCTTTGGCTTTATGACACAAAGTGAAAGAACAAGATCGGCTCTGCAAATATTCTAACATGTTATCTTTAGCATCACAGCATGTTGTCAGTGGTCATAATTGAACTCTAATTGACCTCGGGAACCCTTTAATTTAAATCTATATCCATCACAATCAGCCTCTAATGAGTCAACCACGGCCTCCCCCATACAAACTCGAACAACAACGCAGTTTTCGTCTCGGCAAAAAAACTATTATTGGTACACACCTTTTTTCTGACTCTTAGTTCAAATCAGTCCTCACCTTCTGCCACCTTTGTTCTGATTAGTGGTCATACAAGACAGCAGTGACCTTAGATGATGATTATAATTATCCCATTGACAAATTAATGGATTTTTAAACTTGTAATTTATTTGCAGATTAATTAAAAGTCCACTTTAGAGCAGAGCACATGAGCAGAATGCCATTAGCATCACAGGGGTCAGGTGTTTTAGAGCCAACATATATCTCTGTGTCAGTTTTGGATGTTATTATTGAACAGGTGCAGGTAAAATTAATTAATTGATAAATGATATGTGAATTATTGTTTGTTTTTCTGCCTTCATAGTTGCAAGGGTTGCATCAGACATCATGAAATTCTCCTGACAACTTTATTATGAAGCTGCCTGCGTGGATGAAACACTTGTTTTTTCTTTTCTTTTTTGTTGTTGTCTTTCTTTTTCTTCGGGGGGAGGGAAGGGGGCAGTGGGGGGAGAGGGGGCGGTGTGAGCTAAACACCACGGATAAGAGGCTGCCCGGCACACGCCTGCATGGTGGTCGGTAATCCCACAGTCTCAGACTCATGACCCACTTTCTTGGAGGAGCATGATGGAG